AGAGGGAGGGGGGAGTACCAGTAAAGGACCTTAGGAAGGTCTGAGACAAAGGTCACTGGAATCATCTAGCAGGTGACTCCTGTCAAAAATGGGGGAGTGGCTCACTAAGACCAGAGAGTTTTACAGTGTTACCACTCCCCTGCTTAGACTTAAGAGCCGTGGCGGTGGCACGTGACACCCAGCCGAGGCCAGGGGGCGGATACCGCGCGCCTCGCTGGACTTGTTAGTTTTGGTAAGAGTTTTACGGCGCTAGCAACTGCATAATGTCATAATATTACATGTATTATTATTATGAGCAAGCGAGGCACAATTTGGTTGTTTTCACGTAAGGCATTTTCAGTTTTGGAAGGAATTTATTTTGAATTTGTCCCTAGTGGCTGCCGAGGACTAACCTTTTCGATTTTAGGACCAGGGATCTTTATCTTGCGTTACTTGTACACGACGGGATCTCCTGGAATTTTTCGCCCTTATCCGAGAAGGCTGGATGTTCGGTCTTACTCGTCAGTTGTATACTAATTTATTGAAAGTTGGTTGTGGCGATCTATTTAGACCTAGATTGTTTGAAGAATGGCACGTTCATACCGGTAGGCCTATCAATAAATGAAGCCAAGAGTTGGGCGGGGGGGGGGCTTTCGTGGTCGAGGGGTTACGGTGTTGGCCTCTCATTCAATAGGTCCAGTGTTCGAATACAGATAACAACGGAAAAAGAATTCTTCTCTAAAATTGTCTCCTTTCTCCCCCTTTCCTGCACTCTAGCAATAATCTGTCGTCTGCTTCCGTGTCCACTTTATGCCCCCACTCCACTCACCTCCTTTGCCCCCGCCTCTGGCGGGCCTCCGACTGAGACCGACTCTACTGCTACTCCTTGGAGGATTCGGCTGCCACCCGGGCAAAATTCAATTTTTTTTTTTTACCATACTCAAAATGTTTAATACGTCCCGCGCGCTCATATAACCGTACGCAGTACGAGCGCCATAAAACACTGACCCAAAAATAAATAAATAAATACATAAATAAATAAATAAATAAATAAATAAATTTTGAAAAAATAAAAAAGCCAAGAATGACGGCATCACACCATGTCACCTTCTTTTTGCAGTATCTGACTACGATTCCTCCTCACCATCAGGCTGCTCTCATCTGAAAAGTCATAAAGTATGAGCAGAAATTCTTTACAGCTTCACTTGTTATTTATCAGGCGATCGTAATTAGATCTCTGCGTGGGCAAAAGTTTTACCACTATAAAGTGTCAATTGTAAGCTGTGACGTAGGTCATTGGGAAATGGGGTGAATACAATGTACTTCCTTTTTCGTACGACGGAGATTTAATTGTAGTAGACTATATTTAGGAACAAAAGTTTTGTTTGTTTTATTAAATTTATTTTAGCCTCAATTGTTTTGGAAAAGTAATATGATTAAGTTGTGACAAAATGATGCAAACTACTGTGAAAAGTGTGGGTGACATTGATTCACCCGTTAAAAAGATATTTGAGGATAAGTTGTGCTCCGAATTTTTGACCGCACTATACAAATCTAGTTCACTTTTACGAAAGCTACCCAAAGACAGCAACTCTCAGAAAAGTAAGGGTGCATAACTAGTAAAACCACCCACACAAATTATGCAGTTTTCGGTATTCTCCCATTTTGACACAA